TAGACGCTTTTCTGATGTTTCTTCTAAGTAAACCCTACTTAGAGTGTCTGCTGTTGGACATTTGCGGAATAGCGTATAGCGGACTTCGGACTTCATACCTTTCAGAGCGGACCTTTAACGAGGGGCGGTTAAATATTGAAAAAAAGATAAATTATATCTTCAATTAATACTAGTGTATAGGCTTTTATATATCATGTTTATAGTAAGATTCAATACATGTAACTATACGTGGATCTTCATCTTTCACTGCTACTTCCTATGCTGAAGGATCATCTGCATTCAATGTTGCCACTTCAACTGCCCAAAAAAGGAAGAGGAAGGAGAACAGGAAGGGAGGGATTAAAAAAAACGCTTACTCTCCTTGGTCAGGGAGACCTAGGAGGCTCATAATGCCTTTATTACAAAGAAAGACCCAAAACTTCTCATGCTCTCGGAATCTCCGATTCCAATGAGTCTGACTAAAATATTAAAAGAAATAAAGATGCATTTTTTGTCTTTGTTCTTATTTATACCTGTAAAAACGCATTGCAGCGATAAATCACTTTTTGCAGTTTCTGATTGTTGTCCTTTAAGGCTTCTTCATCAGTTTTGCCCTGACCAGCAATGATGATGTCATCGGCAATTTAATTTCCTCTGAAATATCTCACTAGAATCGCAGAGTCCGAAAGGTAGACGAGCCCAACGGGCTCATTGTTGTGAGGAGGCGCACAAGCCAGAATATTTCTTGGACATCTAACTTGCTGAACAGTCTTGCATTTTTTTGATTTGGGAAGACATCATCAAAAGTTGGTATGTTATAATGTTCCTGCTGTAGTGCAACATTCAGCGGTTGAGGATCTATACATATTCTGAGTTTGTCATTTGGGTTTTAAACCACTGCCATCTGGCTTACCCATTCAGTCGGCTTTGTGACAGGTACTAGAATTCCTCTATCAACCAGTTGGTCTAGATCCTTTTTCACACGGTCTTTGAGAGTGAGTCCAATTTTTCTACATGGTAAAAATTTCGTATTCACATTTGGGTCCACTTTTAAGTTGATTTCTCCTAAGTCACCAAGATTTGTGCCGGACTCTATCTTCGCAATGAAACGTTCCTAATTAACAGTGACAAGTCTAAGTTGTTGGATTGTTTTGAGTCCTAACAAGCTTTGGAATGAGTTTGGAACAATGATGAAACTAACTTCATTTTCTTTTCCAGTTTTCACATTTTTCAAGGACAAACAGGCTTCAGCGAGGGGTTTGAGGCTAGACTTCAGAGCCCTGTGCTTGTTGTTAGCCTATTCGTAAGACTTACATATTCTGAAGTCATCCTTAGAGTCTTTGTACAACTTTTCACTTGATTTCTTCTGATATATTTCTTTTGAATTGTGTTGACTTCTGCACCACTGTCTAGTTGGAGGCAGATTTTACCTTCATTAACCATCATTAGGGCTGATGTATTTTCCTTCTTGCTAGGATTTTCATTCGTGTTCAGCCAGGAGTCATTCGAGCCATCACTTTCATAGTTGTGATTACTGTAACAGGGTAATTTTCGCCCCTTTCACTCTCTTCTTTTTGGGGCGAATGTAAAACTGGGCGAATTTAAATCACACAGAATTATTTCTTAAACATAACTATGACTGGGCCAATTTTACACGGGGCATAATTGTTTGCAAGTGCAAAAGGGCGAAAATAACATGGGGCAAAAATAACCCTGTATACAGTAGTTTCTTGGACATTGACCTTACACTTAGATTTGAAGTGGTTACGGCCATTGCGGTTATTGCATCTCTGTCCCCAAGCTGGACAATCTTCTTTCTTCATCTGATGTTTTCTGCCAAAGAATTTGCATATCTTGTGAGCGGGAGGTATAGTTTTTCTTTTCTTTCTTTTTGTTTAGATAGTTGTCTTTGTGATCCTTGTGTTCTGAACTGTTTAGTTTTAATCTTGTGAATTTGACTCTCTTTAAAATAGTGTCCTTCATTTCCTGTGCTTGTTTGCTTGCCTGTTCGTAAGACTGACATATTCTGATTGCTTTTCGCAGATCTAATTCGTCATCTCTCAGAAGCAGTTGTTTCATTTTACCAGACGATAAAAACACAATTTTGTCTCTAATCATTCGACCTTCAAGTTCTCCAAAATTGCATGATTTAGCACGTATGCGTAATTCAGTCATAAACTGATCAAATGGTTCAAAGTGTTTTATTTTCCAGAATTTATGACTTTCAGCCACTTCGTTTTTACGAGGGTTGCAATATTCCTCTATCTTCTTAAAACCTGTAGCTGGATCATCTTTGTCTTCATGTTGATTCCATGTGAAATGGTCATATTATATTTTCAATAATTGCTCACCTCCGCAGTTTATGATGGTAGCAGTCTGAGTTTCTTTGTCTAGTTGCGCTGTGCCGCTTGCACGTAGATAGATTTCAACTTGACGCTTCCAGGTCCTAAAATTCTCTGAGACATTCCCTGAGTGAAAATTAACTTCAGGTGGAAGTCGAAGGTTTGTGTTCAGATGAACAATCTAAATTTCACATAACGGTTTTGCTGAATTTTTTCCGTGTACCGTCCACACTTACTTGAAGAGTGGCTTGAACTTGATTATCGCAATCATAAATTCGTAGCCGCCGCTGCCACCATGTTGACAATAGATCCTTTTTGTGTGGTATAAGGAATATTTCAGTAGAAAACTACAAAGCGGGAACCATGCTTTTAATTGGTTACTAAACACACTGAGAACCAGTTTACAAAAATCATATTTAAGATTTCAAATTAACATTGTAAAATGACAAAAAGAAATGATTAAAAAAATCAACAGCAAACATCCGTTTTACGCGTCGCCGGTAAAACTCAATTTCAAACCGTTAAATCAGCATTAACGGTCGCAAATACCATATTAGAAGACAATTATTCCCTAATTCTAATGCAATTGTTTTGTAAAATACGTTTTGACTGGCTAATTAACGCACTGATGTTTGAAGCAAAAAAACGATCATTAACGTGAGTGAAAGTTTTTCATTGTGACATCATAATAGAGCAAAGCAAAAAACACAATGCTCCGCATATAATGAAACTCAACAAAACAAGACATAAACAACAAACAAAATGCATGGATTGCATCAGAATGGGAGTAACTAATCTTTTAATTTGGTATTTGCGACCGTTAATGCTGATTTAACGGTCGCTTACGCGTCGCCGGTAAAACTCAGTTTGCAACTGTTAAATCAGCATTAACGTAATGTTGTTTTATTTAGGAAATATTATTATTCTGATGCTGTTTAAAGCAAGTCGCGTTTAAAGTCATCGTTTCGTAAGTTCTATGGTCGATAAAATGACCTTGTCAACAAATGCAATACATGTATATCATTAATTCAACTGTTGACCGACTTTTTAGCTCACCTGAGCTGAAAGCTCAAGTGAGCTTTTCTGATCACATTTTGTCCGGCGTCCGTCTGTCTGTCTAGCTGTCCGTCTGTCTGTCTGTCTGTCTGTCTGTCTGTAAACTTTTCACATTTTCGACTTCTTCTCAAGAACCGCTGGGCCAATTTCAACCAAACTTGCCACAAAGTATCCTTGGGTAAAGGGGATTCAAGTTTGTTCAAATTAATGGCCACGCCCTCATTCAAGGGGAGATAATTGGGAATTAATGAAAATTTGGTGGCATATTTTAAAAATCTTCTTTTCAAGAACTACTGTGCCAGGAAAAATGAAACTTATGGGGAAACATCCTCAGGTAGTGTAGACCCCCTGGGGTAGGGCGGGGCCAAAATGGCCGACCAAACTTTTACATAGAAATATATAAGAAAATTCTTTAAAAATTTTCTTCTCAAGAATGACAAAGCCATAATTCATCAGATTTATATGGAAGCATCCTCAGGTTGTATGGATGCAAGGTTGTTCAAATCATGACCCCCGGGGGTAGGGCGGGGTCAAAATGGCCGACCAAAGTTTTACATAGAAATATATAGGAAAATTCTTTAAAAATCTTCTTCTCAAGAATGACAAAGCCATAATTCATCATAATTATATGGAAGCATGTTCAGGTAGTGTAGATTCAAGTTTGTTCAAATCATGACCCCCTGGGGTAGGGCGGGGCCAAAGTGGCCGACCAAACTTTTACATGGAAATATATAGGAAAATTCTTTAAAAATCTTCTTCTCAAGAATGACAAAGCCATAATTCATCATATTTATAAGGAAGCATGTTCAGGTAGTGTAGATTCAAGTTTGTTCAAATCATGACCCCCGGGGGTAGGGCGGGGCCAAAATGGCCGACCAAAGTTTTTAAAGATATATATAGGAAAATTCTTTAAAAATCATTTTCTAAAAATTAGCAAATCCATGATTGGTCATGGGACTACTTTTGGATTTAAACATTACAATAAAAAGTCATTTTCTACTTTTTCCTACCCTTAGTGCTCAGGTGAGCGATGTGGCCCATGGGCCTCTTGTTTTCATATTGATTGTTAAGTCATTCTTTAGACACTGAGTTGTCTACGGATTTTTCTGTTATTTCTCAATCATGACAAGGATTGCACGGCGAGTGTGACTGTTCGGCAAAGGGATACTCACTTCTCCATGTCAACTGATCCCATATCCGATGTTTTTTAGGTTTGTGTTTGTTCCGCTCCTATTTTGGAATGAATCATGTACTTTCGAGCTCAATTATTGTTCTCCACATATTTTGCTAGTAATCCAATGTGCTTTTGCACTATTGTCATAGCATTATTATGAAATCGAGTCATCGTCAATCTGTTTACGCACTGTTATGTCATCAACATCGTACCAAGCCATCATCGTCCGTAGGGAAAATAGTCGATGCTCGATAGATAGTGGACTACATTATTATATCGTAAATTGAATTATAGCAGTTCAACAAATATATTATTAGCTGTTAGCATGCTGAAGCATGCACTTGCAGATTTACATTTTAGCAACTCTATCCAGTTATGTCATTTCCAATTAAAGGAATTTTCTTTAATTTCTTTGCTGTGGTAGTTATTTTCAAACTCCTCTTTTGCAGCTTTACCAAAATCTTTTATGTTTCTTGACCCACCAAAATTTGGCTTCCATATAGACGGACATGCATTACCTCTAGTTGCCACTGCTAATTGCATTTACCCGCAGCCTGCTCTTCGGAACGTTGCATTGCATTATCGGATAGAGGTAAAAATACGTAATTTAACTGCGAAATTTAATAGATTATAATAAGATACATTACCATTTTGTTACAGATGAATTTGTTATTGCTACAATGATATTTAATACTTAAGGCTAACAATATTAAAAAATGTATGATATATAGAGAATATTACATACTAAGATCCATACCATATGTCATATCAGCCTGAGACTGTTCCAATATCAGCCCGAGGGCTGATATGTGGCCCTAGGGCTGATGTGACATATGATATAGGTTTTAGTTTGTATTTATCATAAATTTAAAATGCTTAATGTACGATTTCACATGTGGTGATTGAAGAATGTTTCATGTCTGTTTATGGCCTTTTGCTTCAAACTCAAATAGAGCCAATTTTTAGTAACTGAAAAAAATTAAGACCACAAATGTCATTAAAGAATTATTTTACATGAATATTTAAATTAAATCAAGTAAATCTATTTTTAAACCTTATACAAACGTTACTTCCGGTTTGATATGAATTTTCTGCCCGCCGGTCTGATACGTGATATGGATTTTCGGACCGGTCCGTGATATGGGGTATTGTTACGTCACCCGTATTGTACCGTGCAGAATCGGATATCAACAAACGTCTTTTTTATCCCCTCGCGCAACTAGTTGCGGAGGGGATATAGCATCGCGAATGTGCGTATGTGTGTGTGTTAGTGTGTTAGTATGTTAGTGTGTTTGTTACACCTTGTGGGCAAGATTGACAGAAAACCTTTGCATTAACCATTCTCAGCGTTTACATACTTGTGTGGCAATATAAAAGGACGAAGCCTATTCATTTTCAAGTTCATTGATGAAATATTTCTTCAGATATCGCGTTTTACTTCCTCGAAACCTGACATTTTACGTACGAGTTGACAATAATCATTTGTGGGCAAGATTGACAGAAAACCTTTGCATTAACCATTTTCAGCGTTTACATACTTGTGTGGCAGTATAAAAAGATGAAGCCTATTCATTTTCAAGTTCATTGTTGAAATATTTCTTCAGATATCGCGTTTTCACTGTCTCGAAACCCTGACATTTATGTACGAGTTGACAATAATCATTTCCGCTAGGGAACCAGTTTAAGAGCCAGTTTTAAAGTTTAAAAGACGTGTCGAGTCTGCGGCAACCGGATTGAGAGAATTTGGTGAACGCCGCTGTTTCATTACCAAATTCCAACAGGTGTCTCGGAATTTGGGGTGCACGTTATTCCTGAAAGCTGTAAACACAATCCTCAAGTACAAATTAACCTCTCGATGTACATATGTACATTTTTATTTTTCATGATGAAAAAAAATGCATATTACCTGGAACTGTGAGATATACTTAGGTAGGTAAATAATTAAAATTGCTGAAACTTATACATATAGCATACGTGATATGTTTCTGCTAGGTATAAGGGAAACTGCCCAATTACGTATGCATATTATGCCCCTCTCCCCCCAAAAATACTATGCAATTTGATTTTGGTTAAAAATAGACATCCCCACCCCCGATAACTAAAAGTTTAAAAAAAACTGTGCAGAAAAACAATGTAATATCTTATGAAATTAAACTTTACTACCCCAAATTAGGTATCCATATTATGCCCCCCCCCCCCTTAACCAAGACGCTATGCACGTTGCATTTTGTAAAAAAAAAAAAAAAATGATGAACAACAACACCTCACTAATAATTTTGTCAAAAGTAAGGGAGTAGATCCTAATGTTGCGGGTTTGAATCCCGTTGTGGGACGTGGAGACTAAGTCACTGGTCCTTTGAATGAGACCGTGTAAACCAAGGGCCCATGTCCCAATAGATGCTGGCACAAAAAGATCCCTCACTTTTCAATGGTTGTCAGTTCCTATTATATGAAAGAATGTGCAGCTCCCCACCGGCAAGCTTTCATATGAGCAAAAAATTCCTGAGAGGGACATTAAACAAAATACATTGTACTATCAATCTTTAACATGTTTACACCAACACCAACAAGTAATCTCCAGTACTCTGAAGTTTTGTTGTTAAACAGAAGAAGAAGAATGTCCCTCGAGAGAATTTATCTCTTAGGAGATATTGCCATTACCAGTGAAGTTCCTGTCGCGAGAGGATGCTCCGCTTAGCGGTGCCCTTGTTAATCATGTTTTTAATTTCACATAAATTTTACAAATACTTTTCGTAACCTATTTAAAAACAAATATGTTATTTCTTTTTAACCTATCAGGGATTCATGTTTTTCACTGAAATTTCACCATTTTGATATTACATATGAAGAAAACAAAGTAAAAAGGTGTCCACGCGGTTACGATTTTTCAGATGAGGAATCAGGTGTGGGTAAAGACCCCTGTCAACTGGTCACATCCGCCGTGTCGTGTGCTCCTTGTCATGATCGAATGAACGTGAAAACTTGAAAGAACTTGGTGTTGAAATACTGGTCTTAAAATTTGTATGAAAATGTCTTTTAAAGCAATATGAGCTGCATTTTTCAGAATTTCATTTTGCTGGTAAAATGTGTTATTATGATTAATATGTATGTAATCTAAAACCAAAATAAAGTTTAAAAATGTTTCAGAAGAAAATTCAAGAAATATTTCTGTACAACCGAATATATGGTATTATATAAGAAATCATTATTATATTGTACAGGACGACAATAATTCAATTTTGCTTCAAGCAAATCGTATTAAAAGTTCTTTCATAGCAAATATGAACAAAAGAAGTTTACAAATGTTCTATTTTTCTGTCATTGAAATAGTTAATTACAAATTTGCAGCATTTTTTTTCCGATGTCAAACATGCAGCTCATATTGCTTTAACAATCAATATTGTTATAAAGTGGACCTTTTCACAAAATATCTTACGAATATGCCTATGACATTTTTTTTCGATTTCTCCAAAAAACATCTAAACATTGGTCAGTTATTAAAAAGAATCTTACATTTTTATTTTATAGGAATACATTGTTAATAATCCATTAGAAAACATATTTAAAACCAAAAATACTGTTTTGTCAAATGTTAATCTTCGTCGTAATTTTTTATGAACGACAAAATCTGTTGAATTAAAGTTATTTCTGGTTTCAACTTGCATTTGGAATTTTATCTCCTAATATTTACATTCAGTGTAATTTTCTTTATGAAATCCATTAGAAATCCATGACGTTCAAATCTCTATAACACACGCGAAACCTTGTCATCGTGCGTTAGAATACACAGTAGGAACTATATGCATTTTCAATACTTTATGAACACCAAAATGTACATTGTCTGGCACAATTTAATAAAAAATATTATCCCTGTTGAATTAACGTAAAGTACAACAAATGTGCATTTCAAATTAATTTGTCACTTTTTTCCTCGCAATGTTTCTTTGCGTTATCTAACTTTACGACGTCACAAATGTCACAAACGGCTCTTACGTCTATAAAGCACACCAGTTTTGAAGGGCGTTAAATTCAAATTAAAGATTACCAAAATAAACAATTATGAAGAGGAAAAATTAAAGAATGTAAATATAAGTATTGAATTCAGATTTTGGGATGTCTTCGGTCCTATAACACATCTGGCCGTATGAAATATGAATTCAATGCTTAAATATTTACATTTGCAAATGTTTTTCTTTATATACCACTACTGAAAGCTATGAGTATCTATAACTGTATAAATACCGGTGTGGGGTCCAGAGGTCATAGATGTGCGTTTGGATAAATGTTCGACGTAATTTCTCAGTGACGTCATAAAGGGTCGACGTGCGTTCAGTGGATTACATACATGCCGTTGGATTTGAAAAATAATGCATTTCACACGTTAAAAGTCACAATCAGGCATATATAAAGTATGAATAGTCACAAATGTAAATATAAGTAATAAGGTATAATTTTAAAACATCTATCGGGCTATAAATACGGGTTGGTACGAGATTAAATTCATCATAAAGCTTTATGGAATTCAATCTCGTGACCAACCCGTATTTATATCCCGATAGATGTTTTAAAATGATACCTTATTTCTTAATTATATTTTGTATCGTGCGAATGTTCATTCGAACCCAAACCTCTGAAAAAAAAACTAAAAGGTTGCAATTTTTTTTTTTCATGAAGATATGGTGATGAAAAAAAAAATTTAGAAAATGATTTTTATACAGAATGCAAATCGATTAAATAACCCGCTTTTGTTATTATTATTTTCAAATCATAGTGTTTACATTTACAAGAAAACTGAATAAGTTATGACAAAACGTTTGACTTCAGAATGAAGACACCTTTCAACAGTTCACAAAAAGAAAACTTAACATTTCTTCGTCACATAATTCCAATTGTGACCAGCATGAATACGATCTACAAGTCCAAATAGATATACTTATGACTGATTTTAATGAAACAAACGTGATTTTTCAATTTCTCTATGTTTCTGTCTCTGGGGATGTTACACGTACAAAGGATATTATCTTCCTAAAATTCGGAGGTATGTTTGAAGCATTTTATTTGCATATTAAGCGTTTCAAAATGTTCAATTATTTGCATTTAAGGTTTTGCCAAAGGTCAAGATGTCAAAAAAATTATTTTTACGATAGCTTCAAATCTATGTTAGGTGTAAAGTTAAAACCTTTACAGTTTATATTTATATCATTGATTGACAGATTCATGTGTAGAAAGTACCACTTGGAAACAAATATTTATTTATTTCTTTTTTATTATTATTTTTTTTTTAGAAAAAATATATCAAGAAATATGCATACTTGAAATAAATGCACCTGTTTAATTCTGTACTTTTAGTGAAAACCATCATTGCAGAAATGATATATGTGTATCAGTGAAGGACATGTTGGACGTGAATGGTCTCTGAAGGGTTGTTATTGAAAGCATGACATGTATAAAGACAAGACCCCGATAGAATCCGCCATTTGCAATGTACATTCGGTTTCAAATGTTAATATTTGGACAAAATAAAGAGAGAAAACAACTTTTCAGAGGCTATTTAAGTCCTACTTGCATTTCATTGATAAACATATATTGTTTCTGCAAGATGGCTTTCCCTTAAGGTTTCGTCAAAGGTCAACATGTCTATAAAATTATTTTTACAATAGCTCCAAAACTATGTTAAAACGTTTACAGTTTATAAATATATCATTGATTAATAAATAGAAAGTATCACTTGATTACAAATATTTTTAAAAAGATATTTTTTTGAGAAAAATTGTATCACAAAATGTGCATATTTAAAGAAAAATGCACCTGCTTAATTCTGTCTTTTTTGTGAAAATCATCATTGCAGAAATAATATATGTGTATCACTGAAGGGCAGGTTGGAGGTGAATGGTCTCTGAAAGGCTGTTATTGAAAGCATGATATGTATAAAGACAAGACCCCGATAGAATCCACCATTTGCAATGTACTTTCACTTTCAAGTCTCTCAACATTTGCATAAAATAAACAGGGAAAACAATTTTCCAGAGGCTATCTTAGTCCAACTTGCCCTTCATTGATAAATATATTTTGTTTCTGCAATAATGGTTTTCACTAAGAGCGCTGAATTAATTAGGTGTATGTTTTGAAAATATAATTAGGCATTTTTAAGAAGAATTTTTCTCAATATTTTTTCCAAGTATTTTTTTTTATCAAGTGATACTTTCTATCTGTTAATCAATAAAAAAAAATTATAAACTGTGAAAGTTTTAACTTTACACCTCACATAGTTTTGGGGCTATTGTAAAAATAAATTTGTGGACATGTTGACCTTTGACAAAATCTAAAAGTACGGAATTGGAGACATGTTTTTGCATTTTTTAAATTAAATTAAATTATCGATAAATATTTTTTAAAGTATTTGTAATGACATGATACTTTCTATCTATTAATCAATGGTCAAGAGCACAATTATGTGCTCATATCTTCTGTAATTTAAATTTTTCTCATATCAATTTCAATGAAATTATTTTTCCTTAATCAAAGTCAGCACCAACAAGTTATCAAATACATTATATATTCTGATCTTTATAAACTATGTATATGACAATATCTAAGCCTAATTTTATATTATATAATTTTATATCTTTTCCTATTTCAAAATTTGAAACTGTTAAAAAGATGTAAATTTATGGTTAAATCTATTTGATTGCTTCATCTGTAATTCATGATATTTTAATTTCTAATCCTAAAAAATGAAATAATGATTGCATCATTAAACGAATATTTTATTTTTAAACCGACCTATCTGTGTAGCCGATATTGAATGGCGATTTATAAGTGACGTAACAATGACGTTGCACCCCAACATTTGGCGCAAGCGCCTCGGGAAATAGATTTGCTCTTGGAGAACTGGAATTTTGCTGATTCCCTCAATGATATATTTTAACTGTATTCTGTTGCCCGCTGGCGTCAAATGACGCTAAATTGAGATGTCTTTTCCTCATTCGGCAAACCTTGGCTGGTTTGGGTAACCGAGAGTTAAATGAACATGTAATTAGCCGAAAAGCGCCGAGTAATTTAAACTTTAAATGGCCGATGTTCGTTTTGCTGGGGCAAACGAGAATATGAAATCAAAACAATACTTGAAAGTGGGGTCAGTTTCAAAATGTAAAAACGGCTGAAAAGATTTCCAGCATACGAATATATCTGTTGATGAAAGATCTGCGTCCGTCCGTCTGGTACTCATCTCTTTTCAGCAACTCCTCTGAAACAATTAATTTAAATTAGACTTTCAGAGAATCTTTGTAACCTTGTGCCATTGTGCACTTCCTATTTTACTTTTTGATCTGACACATATTTTGTGTACATATTCTTTATTACATAATGCCATTGTGACATCCTATTTTACTTTTTGATGTGACACTCATTTCGGGTCTCCCAGAGCAAAACATGTACTTTGCCTTTATAATCATATGGTAGGTGGAGGTATCATTTATTGGAATCAGTGCTCACAATACCTCTTGTTTTTCCTACATAACGCTAGTTCAATATTCATCATAAACTCTAAATGGTAATCTTCAATACACTTTTCTCTAAACTTACGTCACCTTTAAGTCACGATAAATTTGCAAATGTGTATACTATCAAGGAATATACTCCATAAACATTATAGTAAGCACACCTCCAACTTTGCGAGTATTGTCTTACGCGTTAGCAATTTCAGGTGTTTCCAGTGTTTACGTCATAATAAATCCAAATCATTGTGCTTCTCATGCAAATACACAAAGATTTTTTTTTTCTACGACACAACATTGATAACCCCAAGAGTGTTCACTTTTTCACCAAACCATTTTTTTAATCTAGCCTTTATTCCGGAATGCAAATCAATATTGTGCCAGAGCAATGTAACTTGCGATGCAAATGCAAACCCAAAAGACATATGCCGATGCCCTTTGCAGAATGTGAAGTTTTTCTGTCAAAACATTGGTATGCACGTTATTAATTTTTTATTCACATGGTTTTAATCTTTAATGAAAACATATTTTAAAAGGCAGTGAATAGATTAAAATTCATAAAAGCGATTTGCTGAATAGAATTGCACATTAAAAAATCAAGTCAAGCATTTTAGCCTATACCAAAATGGAGGTATGAGTATTTTATCAAAACTTTATTTACTTATTTTTTCTTTTATTTTGACAAAGCACAAGATGAATTATGGCAAAATACTACAGTGGGGATTGATAATTCTATAAAGCCAAAGCCATCAGGTAAACAACATTTGCAGTCTAAATAAATTGGAAAAATAAGCAATTGTAATACATGTAACCATAAAGTCCATCTCAATAATAGATGTTGTGAACAAGTAAATCAAAGATTTCTAAAAACAAAGTGGGATCAGGTGTCATTGATGTGTAAGTATCTCCTGTCGACCGGTTGCGCCACTTTGTCATGTTCTGGTATACAGAGAAAACGTACGCGATTTAGTTTTAAAATGATGGCCTAGCAATTTAATTGAAAGATTTGAGTCAATATAAATAATAAACAAAGTGGGGAAGTTTACAATGTGGCAATGTGAATGTCATGAGTCTCTTTAAAATACCCTAAAAAGTAAGCATGGTCATGTACATCGATGATAAAATGAACCAAATATACATGATGTTTTTTTATTCCATCATATAATGAACCAAAGATAAACGATGTCTTTTTTGATTCATTCTGCCTTATAAAATAAATAATTAGGTCTTAATCACATAAGCACCAATCTTTTTCGTTTTCCTTGAAACATTTAATTTTCAAGAATTCACTAGCTCTAATTAAAGAATTCTTGAAAAGCACTTTGCAGTGTTTATTACTTTGATTATACAGTTCATTCCTTGTGAGTTCGATCTACCCTACCTGTACTTGATTTTAAAAAATTCTTAGATACATTGTTGGATCCAGCAATTGCTCTACCAAGTCCATATCTTTATTCATCACAAAACTTTTAAATGCTACAGTAACTGTAAAGGAGATACTACAATGTGCTACATAGGCAATTTAGCCACATATGATCCACATATGCGTTGCCTTTTATATGAAGATCATATGTGGATCATATGAGAATCATGTGTATATACAATCATATGAGAATCATATGTGGCTAATCATATGAGAATCATATGATTACACATATGTATATCATATGATTTATTTACATATGATTCTCATATGAAAGACCCTGCATATGAGAATCATATGTATATTTTGACCGTTGTCATATGAGAATCATATGAAACAGTGATCATATGAAAATCATATGAAACAGTGTTCACTAATTTGACCTTGGTATATGCAATTAAAATTGCAATTTCAATAATATATATCAATAGTAATTTAAATGTACATTAATTCAAAAGAATTTGTTCGCAGTAGATCCTTTTCCTATGGCATATTTTCCCTAGGAGTTATTCCCCTTAGCCGCCATCTTGTAGGGCAAAGTAGTGAATTTACCTCTTTGAGCAACCAATTTTTAACATGCATGCAAGAAATATATGGGGGAAAATATTTACAATCTTAAAATTATGAATTAATAGAGGCTTTGACAAACGTATACTCATAAGAAAAATAGTGTTATCTTTACCTCAGTAACCAGTATAACAAATTGAACTTGGTTGAATAATGAAGGGATCTGGAAATGTTGCCCTACAATATGGCGGCTAAGGGGAATAACTCCTAGGCAAAATATGTCATAGGAAAAGGGTCTATTACTTATGTAAAGTTCTACTCTGTTTAACACGCCCCCCCCCCCCCCTTCCCTTATAAAAAAAACTTTCAAGATTTTTTTTCTGTAATAATGCATTTCCCATACAAAATTGATAAAGAATAAATTTAATTTGCTTTTTATTTAAAATCTTTTTGGTTTGGTTTATTACTTGAGTAAAATCAAAATAATACCGTATTTTTTCCGGACCGGTTTTGACTTTTATCGGATGAAAGTGTACGTCATGTTTGACGTCACTGCTGCAGCAGAAGTGCTGGGTGTTGGAAAAAGTAAGTTATCTCCTGAAATTTTTATAAAGACCCTTAGGCTAATTCATATTGTTTAAATATCCCTTAATTACGGTTACAGGTTCGTATGAACTTATTTCTATAACACTCTCAATACTCAGTACTTGTTATAAAAAAAATTAATGCAAACCTACATAATGTTAGTGATCTGTAAGTAATTTTGGATGAATTTGTTTCTGAATGGATGTAAACATTACAATTCACATTTTTAGCTAAAGGCATTACTTTGTTTTCTTTTTATCTCACCTGAGCTGAAAGCTCAATTGAGCTTTTCTGATCACATTTTGTCCGTCGTCCGTCTGTCCGTCTGTCTGTCCGTCTGTAAACTTTTCACATTTTTGACTTCTTCTCAAGAACCGCTGGGCCAGTTTCAACCAAACTTGCCACAAAGCATCTTTGGGTGAAGGGAATTCAAATTTGTTCAAATGAAGGGCCACGCCCTCATTCAAGGGGAGATAATTTGGAATTAATGAAAAATTGGTGGTATGTTTTAAAAATCTTCTTCCCAAGAACCACTGTGCCAGGAAAGATGAAACTTATGTGGAAACATCCTCAGGTAGTGTAGATTCAAGTTTGTTCAAATCATGACCCCCGGGGGTAGGGCGGGGCCACAATGGTCGACCAAAGTTTTACATAGAAATGTATAGTAAAATTCTTTAAAAATCTTCTTCTCAAGAATAGCAAAGCGATAATCGATTATATTTATATGAAAGCATCCTCAGGTAGTGTAGATTCAAGTTTGTTCAAATCAGGACCCCCGGGGGTAGGGCGGGGCCACAATGGTCGACCAAAGTTTTACATAGAAATATATAGTAAAATTCTTTAAAAATCATCTTCTCAAGAATGACAAAGCCATAATTGATTATATTTATATGGAAGCATCCTCAGGTAGTGTAGATTCAAATTTGTTCAAATCAGGACCCCCAGGGATAGGGCGGGGCCACAATGGTCGACCAAAGTTTTACATAGAAATATATAGTAAAATTCTTTAAAAATCTTCTTCTCAAGAATAACAAAGCCATAATTGATGATATTTATATGGAAGCATCCTCAGGTAGTGTAGATTCAAGTTTGTTCAAATTATGACCTCCGGGGATAGGGCAGAGCCAAAATGCCGACCAAAGTTTTACATTGAAATATATAGTAGAATTCTTTAAAAATCTTCTTCTCAAGAATAGCAAAGCCATAATTGTTCATATTTATATGGAAGCATCCTCAGGTAGTGTAGACTCAAGTTTGTTCTAATCATGACCCCCGGGGGTAGGGCGGGGCCACAATGGCCGACCAAAGTTTTACATAGAAATATAATATAGTAAAATTCTTTAAAAATCTTCTTCTCAAGAATAACAAAGCCATAATTCAGGTCATGGGACTACTTTTGGATTTAAACTTTTCAATAATAAACCAATTCTACTTTTTCCTAGCCACAGTGCTCAGGTGAAGCCATAATTCAGGTCATGGGACTACTTTTGGATTTAAACTTTTCAATAATAAACCAATTCTACTTTTTCCTAGCCACAGTGCTCAGGTGAGCGATGTGGCCCATGGGCCTCTTGTTGTGAGTAGAAACCCTGTAAAATAGCAGTTGGCGTTTTGTATGTTGAGATCGTTATCAAGTCGATTCTTTCATCAACTTAATGACAAATGTTTGTTTATATGGCCTATAGATGCATTCAACAACTTGAGTTCAGTGTCACAGTGCTGCTTTTTTATGAAGTCCAAGAAGCCCAATGCTGAAAAGACTAGCGATTGATCCTAACTGCCTCAAGCTGATTCTGACACACGATTGCATCATCACAATATTATGTTAAAATTATAAAAATATTGCAATAAAAAATCAAAGTGTACATCTGTATAAATGACTCCTTTATGACAAAATATTTCTTGATAATTTCTTTTTGTTCCTTTATAATTCTACATAGTTTGCACGGCTTCATCAAAAATAAATTCAACTCAATAATATAGAAGTTTTATTCCACACAATAAAACAATTTTAATCCAATGCACTTTTTTTAAATATGGAAAGTATGAATTGAATTTTCTTGCTTTAAAAGCTATAAATCTATACAATAACTTTAGGGGGTAAATTGAATTTTTGAATTTCAGCAAAAAATTAATAATAACAGTGGCAACTTTCAAGGGACAAATACATGTGCATGTGACTATGTGTTGAAAGTACATCAGATAGCTAATCAGTTGAATATTTACATCTATGTATTCATTGACTGATATTTATAAAAAAATTTCCAACACTAGAGAACCTAGTTTCACTTAAATTGTAAGATATATATAAGACAACTGAGAACCTACAAACTTGTAATTTCTCTTTTTGTAGTTTAAGTTTTAGTTTATAATGCTTAGAAAATATCTACTGTGTGAATATTTGTTTTACAGGTTCAATATACGGTCAGCCTCTCATAAGAAAAAATCCAAAGATCCAAGGCTTGCTTCAAAGTTAAGGTAACTACACACTGTTTAATAGACTTTGTTATATTCTTCCCAACACAATCTGGGATATCCTGGAATCACAAAGTCTGTTTTTGCTGCCTACATGTATCTACTTGTCTGTAGTTTTTTTGTCCAAACGTAATATATTTGTATCAGAATCTTCCTAATTTTTGGCAATTTAATTTGAATTAATATGTTCTATTTGAACATTCCAAATTCAATTGTCACAGTAAAAAAGGCTTTTTATGATTTTAATATGAAGCAATATCTTCCAACAGTGTAATTATCTTGCAAATTACATCATAGGATTCCACAAAACACCTAGTATACCATATATAACTGTGTTACAGTAGTTTTATCTCGTATCATATCTGTGTCGGTGAATTGGGAATACATTTGTTTGCTTATGATAAGTTACTTTAATATAACTTGTAGAGTTGATTTTGTAATTTAAGAATCATTTTATTTTATTTTTTAAATTTTTTGTAGAGACCATTCTGTGCCACAAAGAAATTGTTCAGGAAGGGGAGAACTGGTGGATTTGCATTTTTGGTACAGTTCAAAGAGATTTTCAAAATGGTAATATCAGAGGGAGGACAACTAAAAATATTGAAAGATACAGAAGGAAAAAGAACAAGGAAATATACGGAATAATTATGAAATGGAGAGGATGTACACAATCTTGTCTGAATTTGACCTGTAAAGATTTCCCATTCTTATTTGTATGCTGGAATATCAAATAACTTGATTTTTCATAAATTTACAATAGAGAA